AAAAAAAATTAAAAAAAAACCCAAAAAAACAAAAAACGCTGGGCGCGGTGGCTCACGCCTGTAATCCTAGCACTTTGGGAGGCCAAGGCGGGCGAACCACAAGGTCAGGAAATTGAGACCATCCTGGCTAACACGGTGAAACCCTGTCTCTACTAAAAATATAAAAAGAAATTAGCCAGGCGTGGTGGTGGGCGTCTGTAGTCCCAGCTACTCAGGAGGCTAAGGCATGACAATGGCATGAACCCGGGAGGCAGAGCTTGCAGTGAGCCAGGATCATGCCACTGCACTCCAGTTTGGGCGACACAGCAAGACTCCATCTCAAAAAAAAAAAAAAACAACCAATTAAGTTAAGGGAGTTCGTATCTATGCTTAGTTTGCCAATAGTTTTGATGGTAAATAGGCTGAATTTTTATCAAATGCTTTTCTGTATCTAATAGGGTGGTATGATTTTTCTTCTTTAATCTGGTGGCATAGAGTTCATTAATTTACTAATTTCATAATTCTAAAACCATATATACATTAATTTAAAAACCAAATGCCAAGCAAAATATTAGGTAAGCTGACAAGTTCTATAATATTTACTAGTAGTAAATAAGAGCATTTAGTGCAATGGAGAGAAGAATGAATAGAAAATCAGGGACTGGCTGGGCACAGTGGCTCACGCCTGTAATCCCAGCACTTTGGGAGGCGGAGGTGGGCGGATCACGAGGTCAGGAGATGGAGACCATCCTGGCTAACATGGTGAAACCTTGTCTCTACTAAAAAAAAAAAAAGGAAAGAAAATCAGGGGCTAAGGGATTTAAATCTGTAACTAACTGGCTTGTGCAAAGCACTTAACGTCCCTGGATCTGACTCTCCACATCTTTAAGTTGGGGAGGAAAATACAGCTGTAAGTATACCACAGTAAGTATAAATAGAAAATAATACATAAAAATGTTTAAGAAACTTAACATACATGTTATTAGCTTTCTTCATACTTCAACAGGTTAGAAAGATAGATTAAATGGAGCCATATGAAATTGTTGATATTCAGCCATTTTTGACCCACAGAAATGGCAAGTTCATATGGTTCAATTCAACAGGTTTTTCTAAATGAATTGAAGTTTAAAATCTTCGTATCACTTCAAGAGCTACTTCCCCTCACTATTTCTTAATTCAGCAGTTCTCTTACTTCAAGAACATGCACAGCACACACGTAGCAATACGAAGCACAGGAGACAGGATACTAAGATATCCCCTTCTCAGCTCTTGTCACTTGTTCCTTATAGCCCTACTGAAAACTGAACATTTCTATACCAAAGTGCATAAAATGTTTTGGGAGGAACCTGCATCTAGAACTTAAGAGCTTATTTACTACCCACATGACGTAAAATGCCTGTGTTCTTTTTTTTTTTTTTGAGATGGAGTCTCACTCTGTCGCCCAGGCTGGAGTGCAATGGCGCGATCTCGGCTCACTGCAACCTCAGCCTCCCAAGTAGTTGAGATTACCTGGCATTATGCCTGGCTAATTTTTGTATTTTTGTAGAGACAGGGTTTTGGCCAGACTTCTCTTGAACTCCTAACCTCAGGTGATCTGCCCGCCTTGGTCTCCCAAATTGCTGGGATTACAGGCATGAGCCATCGCGCCTGGCCAAATGAATACGATTTTAAAACTTCACTGTTAAGATGATGCCCTTTAAATTTTATAGTAATATGAAACAGCACTGCATTGGATTTTTGGCATTTTCAAAGGAAAAGCTACACCATTATTTTTTCTTGCTCTTCCCTTGTACTCTTCCCACTGGGGATTAGTTCAACAGTTACAATACCTGGCCAGCTTATCTAAAATTTCATTCCTCATGTAGTTGTTACAGGAAGTATTCTGGTTAATAACATCAATAGTCAGAAGGGGCCATTTGTTCTGCTGAAATGAAGTATAACCATGCTGGGTTTGAAATTCTCCAATCCATAAGATAATGTTTAACCAATCATGGCGAGCTGTGAGGTATCTCCAGAGGGCTTCAGGGGAATATGATTTGTATTCTACATGAAGAACAAAACACATTTTAAAACATAATTATGTTTATTGACATGTAACTCAACACTAAATTACTGAGCAAATGTAACAATCTGGACATAGCTATTTATACAATATGTTAATTATTCAGTTTCTTTTATTATTTTATATAAAATCCTCTGTTTCTTTTACTATTTTCTTTTTTTTTTTTGAGACAGGGTCTCGCTGTGTTGCCCAGGCTGGAGTGCAGTGGTGCACTCATGGCAGCCTCGACCTCCTGGGCTCAAGCGGTACTTCTACTTCAGCTGCCCAAGTAGCAGGGACTGCAGGAATGTGCCATCATGACTAGGTAATTTTTTCTTTTTTTTTTTCCGAGACAGAGTCTCGCTCTGTTGCCCAGGCTGGGGTGCAGTGATGAGATCTCGGTTCACTGCAACCTCCGCCTCTCAGGTTCAAGTGATTCTCCTGCCTCAGCCTCCCAAGTAGCTGGGATTACAGGCGTGCACCACCACACCCAGCTAATTGTTGTATTTTTAGTAGAAGCAGGGTTTCACAATGTTGGCCAAGCTGGTCTTGAACTCCTGACCTTAGGTGATTCGCCTGCCTCAGCCTCCCAAAGTGCTGGCATTATAGGCGTCAGCCACCATGCCTGGCTGCCCAGGTAATTTAAAAAATATATATTCTGTAGAGATGGGGGTCTCACTATGTTGCTAGGCTGGTCTTGAACTCCTGGCCTCAAGTAATCTTCTCATCTCGGCTTCCCAAAGTGCTGGGATTACAGGTGTGAGCCATCGTGCCTGGCCGCGCTGTTCATTTTAAAATCAGTATTACAGCCAAAGAGCTAGATGTAGCTTCTAATTACTATGGTGGTTAAAATGAAACTTACGTATTAGCTGTACATTTCACTTACCTGTTCAACCCTCTTTTTCCCTTCTCTTTCCCTTAATATATATAAAAATTTTATTTCAGAAGGGTAAGGATGAAAAGAAAAAAAATAATAAACAAAAACTTCAGCTATAATAGTAAGCCAGAATTTTACTCTCTGAATTGCTACTGTTTACCACAGTTATGCCCCAGATCCCCTATATCATGGCACAGATTCCCAGTTTACACAAGAAACTCAGACTATTTGCAAAAACAAAGATTGTCACTTTGAAGCTGGAATGAAAACTCAACCTTGAAATCTCAATTAACTATTTTTTTTTTCTTTTATTAGCACATTATAAATCCCTCCCAGAAACTCTGGGATAAGAAAGAGGTCTTAATGCAATGATTTGCATTTTAAAAAACCTGAATATTATTTACCAAAAGGAATTCTAAAATTGAGACACATCAAAATATTCAAATACCAATACCCAATTTAATCCTCATTCAGTATGTTCATATTTCAGACTCTCTCACACTTGCCTTCTGGACTTATCCTGGGGAGAATGATGGATTCCTGTGTTAGTTGATCCCACCACAGAGCCCAATTTAACACAATTCTATGGTTCTGTTTGTTAAATTCATCTTTACAATCATATTTCAGGAATGAGTCCAAAACGGATTTGTGCTTGAAAAAATCTTGTTCCTCTATCCAATACCTAAAAACAGTGATATAAATTGTTTTTTAATTTTGGAGAAAAAGACATCATTCCTTTTTTATCTGCTCAAGAACATCTACTCTTTTGGAGAACACATAATTCTGATTATGCAAATATTAAAATGACAGAAAACTCTTGAGACCCTTCTGTCTGATACAAGTTTTATCTCCATGGAGAATGCAGGCTCAGTTCCACATAAGAATCTTGTGCTCACTAACAATTATAAACTAAATACTACCTACAGTATTCTAATATTATCAAAAGGAGACTAATGAGACTACCTGGGAAATGACTGGATTTGCATATTTTCTTGGAAATGTCCCAAATAAAGCTTCTCAACTTGATGCACGAAGTCTATAGTTCTTTTCTCTTTTTCAGAAAAATAATTTTTTTCTTTTAAAATTTCAACCTTGAATAAAAAGCAGTGACTTTACAAAAATCAAGCACATTTGCAAAAAATGTCATGAGATTATCAAAGAAGATAGTGCTGAGAATTAAAGATTAGAAAAAAAGTAATGAGATAATACGCCATTCAAGAATTATATTTTGAACATTTGAGTCAATGTATATTAAACACAAATTTTCTTTTGCCACAAATGTAAAATAGTCACTTAAGAAAGATGAAGGGGAAAAAAAAGATGAAGGGGTTGTCACACTTTTACTTATTAGATATTAGTTGAACATTAAAATTACTTAAAGTTTTTCTTCCAAGGTTTTCTTCCAAGGTTTTCACCCAGGCTTTCTAGAAAATGTATACTACATAGTCTCACCTTTACCTACCAAAAAGTCACGTATATTTTTATCAGTTGTGTAGAAGCATATCTTGAGCAATTGGCCTTTTACATCAAACCCCTAAAATAAACACAGAAAACCAAAAAAAGTTACATTTTGTAATGGAACTATTTTGAACATAAAAAAATGTGTTAGATACAGAAACACCCTATTATAAACATCTATCTTGTTAGAATTCCATAGCTTTCCAAAGACCTTTCTGCTCTTTCAAACATTCATTTTCCTAATTTTTTTTTCTTTTTGAGACAGTCTCACTGTGCTGCCCAGGCTGGAGTACAGTGGTGTGATCACAGATCACTGCAGCCTCGACCCCCAGGCTCAAAGTGATCCTACCAACTCAGCCTCCCAAGTAGCTGGGGCTACAGGTGTGCGCCACCATGCCTGGCTAATTTTTGTATTTTTTGTAGAGATGGGATTTCTTCATGTTGCCCAGACTGGTCTTGAACTCCTGGGCTCAAGTGATTCTCCTGCCTCAGCATCCCAAGGTGCTAGGATAACAGGCGTGAGCCACCCTGCCTGGCCCTCCTACATTTATTATATGTATTTACTGCCTATCCCTAAAGTCCTTAAGCATTTTGTCAGAGCAAAGGCAGCACACAGAACAATTTAAGGCAATGCTAGGTTACGACAGGACCAAAATGACAGCAATCTGGTATGTTGATTCAAGTGGAAACAATGATCAATGCAAACAACATCCCTCTTACATAGTTTCACTCCTCTGCACCTCCTGAAAGTTACCATGGGCAAGACCCCAACCATGCAGATTAGGGGTAGATCTCAGCTTAGCCTAAAAGCCTTACTTCTAGGACTTCCCCTTCTCATGTGAAGTAAAACCATAGAGCAAAAAGTCCAGCAAAGGCATAATTTACTAGAAAGTTCAAGTGGAGATGTAAGGGGTCACATGAACAATACAGAATGTCCTCCAACAAATAATGAGCTCTTATGCATGCTTCAACATGTGTGAAGTCTTCTATGAGAAACACTATCTCCTCCTAATCAAAGTGCCAGGTCTAACAGAGTATTTTTCTTTTCTTTTCTTTTCTTTTTTTTTTTTGAGACAGGGTCTTGCTCCGTCACCCAGGCTGGATGGAATGCAGTGGCGTGATCTCAGCTCACTGCAATCTCTGCCTCATGGGTTCAAACGATTTTCGTGCCTCAGCCTCCCAAATAGCTGGGATTACAGGCATGCATTACCCACCTGGCTAATTTTTGTTTTTTTTAGTAGAGACAGCATTTACCACATTGGCCAGGCTGGTCTCAAACTCCTGCTTCAAGTGATCTGCCTGTCTCAGCCTCCAAAAGTGCTGGGATTATGGGTGTGAGCCACTGCACCCAGCTCAGAGAGTACTTTTAAATGCCATTTAAAAATCTCTTCAAGAGATATGGAAATAACCTAAGTGTCTATCAACAGATGAATGGATAAAGAAAATGTGGTGTATATATACAAAGGAATATTATTTGGCCTTAAAAAAAAAAAAAAGAAGGAAAGACCAATTGTGCTGGCTTACGCCTATAATCTCTGCACTTTGGGAGACCAAGGCAGGAGGATTGCTTGAGCCCAAAAGTTCGAGACCAGCCTGGACAACATAGTGAGACTCTGTCTCTACAAAAAAAAAAAAAAAAAAAAAAAGAGAGAGAGAAAGAGGAAAACCTGCAATTGTAAACAACATGGCTGAACCTGGAGGACATTGTGCTAAATGAAATAAGCCAGACACAGAAAGACAAATTCTTCATGCTCTTACTTATATATGGAATCTAAGAAAAAGCTGAACTCACAGTAATAGAGAGTAGAATGATATTACCAGGGACTGTGGGGTAGGGGAAAGGAGTAGATATTGGTCAAAAGGTACAAACTTTGAGATACAAGATAAGTGAGTTCTGGGGACCTATGTATAGCACAGTAACTAAAGTTAATAATAATACATTATATACTCGAAATTTGTTGAGAGCAGATCTCAAGTGTTCTCACCATATATATACACATAACTATGTGAGGTGATATATTAATTAGCTTACTTGTGGTAATCTTTTCACAATGTACATACATATCAAAACATCATACTGTATACCTTAAACATATGTAATTTCTGTCACTCATACCTAAATAAAATTAGAGGAAAAATATCTTCAAAAAAGTTCTCAGGCCAGGCACGGTGGCTCACGCCTGTAATCCCAGCATTTTGGGAGGTCAGGGTGGGTGGCTCACAGACTAACCAACATGGAGAAACCCTGTCTCTACTAAAAATACACAAAATTAGCTGGGCATGGTGGCACATGTCTGTAATCCCAGCTACTTGGGAGGCTGAGGTAGGGGAATCATTTGAACCTGGGAGGTGGAGGTTATGTGGGCTGAGATCGCACCATAGAACTGTAGCCTGGGCAACAAGAGCGAAACTCCGTCTCAAAAACAAAAACAAAAAAAAAAAAAAAAGAAAGTTCTCAGTACCAAAACATTTCTCAGTGTTATTTCTCTTTTAGATTTAGAGACACGGTCTTGCTCTGTTACCAGCTATTTATAGGTGCAATCATAGTTCCCCACAGCCTAGAACTCCTGGAGATCCTTCTGCCTCAGCCTTCTGAGTAGCTAGGACTACAGGTGTGATATGGTTTGGATCTGTGCCTGTGCCCAAATCTCATGTTGAAATGTAACCCCCAATGTTGGAGAAGGGACCTGGTGGGAGGTGACTGGATCATGGGGGTGGGCTTCCCCCTTGCTGTTTTTGTGACAGTGAGTGAGTTCTCATGATATCTAGTTGTTTAAAAGTGTGTAGCACCTCCCCACTGCTCTCTTCTTCTTTCTCCTGCCATGTAAGACATGCCTGCTTCCCCTTCATCTTCCACCATGACTACAAGTTTCCTGAGGCCTCCCCAGCCATTCTTCCTGTATAGCCTGTGGAACTGTGGGCCAATTAAACCTCTTTTCTTTCTAAATTACCCAGTCTCAGGTAGTTCATTATTATTTATTTAGTTTTTGAGATAGAGTCTTGCTCTGTTGCCCAGGTTGGAATGCAGTGGCACCATCTTGGCTCCCTGCAACCTCCGCCTGCTGGGTTCAAGCAATTTTCCCTGCCTCAGCCTCCCTAGTAGCTGGGATTACAGGCTCCTGCCACCACACCTGGCTAATTTTTGTAGTTTTAAAATTACATGGGTTGTGCCATGTTGGTCATGCTGGTCTCAAACTCCTGACCTCAGGTGATCCACCTACCTCATCCTCCCAAAGTGCCGAGATTACAGGCATGAGCCACCATGCCCGGCTTAGGTAGTTCTTTATAGCAATATGAGGACAGACTAAGACAAGGTGCAAGCCACCATGTCCTTTTTATTTTTTTATTTTTTGTAGAGACAGGGTCTTGCTATGCTGCCTATGCCAGTCTTGAATTCCTGGCCTCAAGTGATCTTCCTGCCTCAACCTCCCAAAGTGCTGGGATTATAGACATGAGCCACCACACCCAGCTGTTCTCAGTGTTATTAATGTCATTATTTTTTAGTGTCATTATCCACTACATAAATTTCTTAGTTTATGAAATAATTATGAATACAAACCAACTTTATAGTAACTAGAAATTATATTAAATACATTTTAAGACTTTATGGATTACACCACTCACCATATTCTTCAAAAGTTCAGAGGCTTCCTTTATATTGTTCTTTTTTAAATTGTCAAAGACCAAATTTAGGCCTATGCCAATCAGCTCCTCAAGTTTCTGAGCAGAATGACCATCAATCCTGAAGAAAGTCTGTGCCTCTGGTATTCTGTTGTTTAAAATGGCATTGGCAATAACTTCCTAGGAAAAGAAAAACGTTTGCCTTTTAAGTTCCTTTTCATTTCCTTATTATGATTATCAACATGGGATTTATACATTTACTGAACATCTAACAAAGGAACTTTTATTTAAAATCGATTACTAGATTTGGAGTTAGGTTCAAGGGATATAAAATTGAGTAAAACTAAGACCTTACAACTCCAGGAGCTAGTGGAAGACATACTGATTATAGTACTGTATGATAAGTGCTGTAACAAAAGTATCCCAGGGTGTTAGAGAGGAAGGTCCAGAAGAGGAACATCTAAATAAAAGTGATGACCACCCGCCCCCGTAGCCCTCCCGCACAGGCTTGATAGTAGAAGTAACTAGTAACTGATAAGACAAAAAATTTAAAGACCAGTAAGTGTTCCACAGATATATTGAGATAAGAGGACAGGTGTTCCAAAAAGAGGGAGTATCATATGCAGAGAGACAAAGAAAAGAAACTGCATCAAGCCTTCAGGGAACTACAAATTACTCAATATAACTGGAGAGAGCAGCAGATGAGACTTAAAAGCAAAGCAGAGGATCCATCATGAAGAGCCTTGCATTTGAGTTAGATTTTATCCTGAAACTACGTGGAGCCACTGAAAGACTGTAAAAGCAAGATGTGATGTAATCAGATACATATTTACAGAAAAATATCCAGGCAGCAATATAGAGAGTGGACTGAAAGTGATTCAAGCTCGAGATATTAAGGCATTAGAAGGCTACTACCAATAATCCACATGAAAAGAAATACTTAAACTGAAGATCTAAACCCTAGAGAGAATAGAAAGGAGGCCTTCTTAACCTAGGGCTTTAAAGAGATCGGTAAACCCCATTATGCCATGTACAAAATTTATGTGTACACATTCACATGCCTGTTTTTGAAGACAGGGTCTACAACTTTTATCAAAGTAAACTATAACCCCTTCCCCCGGCAAAAGTTGAAAATCAGTGATTCTGAGTAGACCACAGACAGAGCCTTGCAGAACATTGAGGGAAACAGGAAGAGAAATCTGTGAAGGAGACAGGAAAAAAGGAGACAAAAAAGTAGAAGGAAAAGTAAGTAATTTCTTTTTTTTCTTTTTTTTTTTTTTGAGACAGAGTCTTGCTCTGTCGCCCAGGCTGGAGTGCAGTGGCGCGATCTCAGCTCACTGCAAGCTCTGCCTCCCAAGTTCACACCATTCTCTTGCCTCAGCCTCTGGAGCAGCTGGGACTACAGGCGCCCGCCACTACACCTGGCTAATTTTTTGTATTTTTAGTAGAGAAGGGGTTTCACTGCGTTAGCCAGAATGGTCTCGATCTCTTGACCTCGTGATCCACCTCGCTCGGCCTCCCAAAGTGCTGGGATTACAGGCATGAGCCACCGCGCCTGGCCAGTAATTTCTTGTTTTTTTTTTTTTTGAAACAGAGTCTCACACTGTCGCCTGGGCTGAAGTGCAGTGGTGCGATCTCTGGCTCACCGCAACCTCCACCTCCCAGGTTCAAGCAATTCTCCTGCTTCAGCCTCCCGAGTAGCTGGGACTACAGGTGCCCGCCACCACACCTGGCTAATTTTTTTATATTTTTAGTAGAGACAGTGTTTCACCATTTGGTCAGGCTTGTCTCGAACTCCTGACCTTGCGATCTGCCGGCCTCGGCCTCCTGAAGTGCTGGGATTATAGGCATGAGCCACTGTGCCCGGATCATTTCTTCCTTTTTAAGGTTACAGAATGAATAAGAGATACAGAAAATGCAGTCACACCAGGTACTTTAATCCCTCCACCCCAAGAACAGCAATCTTAACAACCTAGAAGCATCTCAATCTTATCACTTTAATTCCCTATTGATTATGATCATCTGTGTTAAGCTGTTTTAGCATTTGTTTTTAAAATACCAATACCCTCCAGTGGATGAAGGAATTCTTCCAGTCCCTAAGTCATATAGATGGTAGTAAATTTTAGTTGTATTATTGTAACTTTTACTGTGGAGGAAAAAAAGGCAAACGGAAACAAATTTAACTGGCAAAATGTCTTAAACAGAATTTCAGATAGGACTAAAATTAAGTATACCTCTAAGTAATAATGTCATAAAATAAAAATTTCCAAAGATCTAATCAGCAGCAGCAATTCAATTTATCCAGAGGTCAGGCAGAATGCATGAGTCCAAAGTGCCAGGCTTGAGTCAATGAGGGAGTATTGCTAAGGAAGTGCCACTTCACATGGGTTTAGAGTTGGGTGTTTGTTACCGAACCCAAGTGGGCAGATCTAGCATTAAGAGGGAGCCTACCCATATTATTAAATAATATGGAATTAAATAAAGGAATTAAATAAACAGAGCTTGTAGACATGAATTTGAAGTCATAATCAGAAATCTCAAAACCAATAAAACCTAAAACCTTTGCCAAACATTCTGAATCACAAGTGTATAGAGTCTGAATTCTGTTTTTTCTATTGTTTTCTCAGATCTTCTGAATCTAGCAAATAAAAGAAGTGATATTTACTCATACTTGCCTCAAAGCTGAGTTTCTTCCATATATTGCTCTCCTTTACTTTGGGGACATTTTCATGTACATCATATTCATCTATAGCATCTGTTAGCTTCCAAGGAAACTTTATCATGAAGGTTCGAAGTTCATTAATGTAGCTAGTCAAAATGTTCACTCCTTTTTGCAGATGTTCATCTAGTTCTATGGAAAATACCAATGTGCCAATTTGTATGTGTGGGTGTATAAATATAAACCATGAGCTATTATAAAGAATTCTAAAGAAAGTCCAAATTCAAACTTGCTATTTTTAAATTTCAAACAACATGTTTGAGGATTTTCCTGTTTACAAGTAAGTAGCTCTGTATTTTAATACAATCCTTTCCTTTTCTTGTTCTTCATGATTAGTCCTGGGTCTTTCTACCAACTTTCTCAGTATCAAAACCCATTTCACTTACTCAATTACACACTGCCCTTACCCAAATGGCGTGTCACCTGTTTATGCTGTGTCACCCAATGGCAGCACTTGTATCTGTTCTGACACAGGAACAGAACTGCCCCCTTCCTAGCTGCTATTCTTACCTTCAGTGTGAATAAAAAGCTCCTTTATTTGGTTGTTAAGGAAAGACAGTGTAAGATTAAGCAATTGTTCTGAAAAGTGTTTGCTTTGGGGTTCAGAATAACTTTCTCTAATTGCTGAGCAAAGTAAATCCAATGCTGGCATCAGCTCTTCCACATCTGAGAAAGAACCAAAGAAATTAACATGAAGAATACCAGGATTCTCACAATAAAATTAACATATCAAAAAAAATCATGTTACAATATTTTTAAACATAAAACAAGGACCAATGTCTTATTTTCAAAAAGCTCACAAAACTTTTATGCAGGCTTATTACCTGCAAAATTTAATGATTCTAATTATTAATAGTTATCATTTACTGGTATCACTGCTAACTACCCTTTTGCTGACCACCTACATCTTAAGTACTGTACTTGTTGTTTTATAAATGCTATCTCATTTATTCCTTTCAACAACTTAAGAGGTAGGTGTGTGTTATATTCTTTTTACATAGATTTAAAAAACTGAGGTTCAGAGACTTGCCCAAGCTAATTCAGAAAGTAAGTGGCAGGGCCAGGCGCGGTGGCTCATGCCTGTAATCCCAACACTTTGGCAGGCCAAGGCAAGCGGATCCCTTAAGCTCAGGAGTTCGAGACCAGCCTGGCTAACATGGTGAAACCCCGCCTCTACTAAAAATACAAAAATTAGCCAGGCATGCTAGTGGGCGCCTGTAATCCCAGCTACTCAGGAGGCTGAGGCAGGAGAATTGCTTGAACCCGGGAGGTGGAGGTTGCAGTGAGCGAAGATTGCACAACCGCACTAAAGCAGCCTGGGCAACAGCGTGAAAAAAGAAAAAGAAAGTAAGTGGCAGGGCCAAAATGTGAATTTAAGCCTGTCTGATCGCAAAGCTATTCTGTGCTAAACATTCAAGTGAAAGCAAGAAGTGTGGGCCCCTGGTTGTTTTATCTGCAGCTGAAGGCTCTAATTAAGTGATTCCTGTTTGTCTCAGCACTGCCCCCCACTTTAGGATTACATCTGTGAGATGTACGAGAATTATGGGAAACAGGTTTTCCCCCTAGGAGAGCAGGTAAGGCTATTCCCAGTGCTTCTCGTTCCGGACCCATCTCCACCCTTTAGAGCTGAGCAGTGCAGGTGAGAGTGGAATGAGGAGAAACCACTAACCACCGAAGAACAGAAGTGAATAATGACTCTACAACTGCTGATGGAGCTCTGCTCAACACCAAAATCAGGCCTTTTTCTATAAATTCAAGCAGTTTTTAAAACATTAGAGCATTAGAAAAGCTGGCAATCCAAGAAAGAGGAGACCAAACTCTGCACTCAAAACAAAATAGAATGTGTGTTTTTGTTTTTTTGAGATGGAGTTTCACTCTTGTCCCCCAGGCTGGAGTGCAATGGAGTGATCTCGGCTCACTGCAACCTCCACCTCCTCGCTTCAAGTGATTCTGCCTCAGCCTCCTGAGTAGCTGGGATTACATGCATGCACCACTACACCCGGCTAATTCTTATATTTTTAGTAGAGATGGGGTTTCACCATGTTGATCAGGCTGGTCTCGAACTCCTGACCTCGTGATCCGCCCATCTCGGCCTCCCAAAGTGCTGGGATCATAGGCGTGAGCCACTGTACCCAGTCTGAGAATGTGTTTTTAAAAGAAAATATCTTTCCACCATATATGAGATTTAGGGAGAAAAAAAAGAAAACATCCAATTCATTTTCTCAGTGAAAGGTAATACTACATCAGTGGAAAAAGAGCAGGTTGTCATTTTCTCCATGTAAGTAGACTACAAATTGGTAAAACTTTTGAAGGACAATTTATCAAGGTGTTTAAAAATATAAATTGTGCATACTCTTAAACCTGGAAATTCCAGGTCTAGAATTTAATAATAAATTCTAGTAATATAAGTAAATGATTATATATGTGAAATGACACACATACAGCATTTCTTACACACTGCTAATAGCAAAGAACTGGAATAAATCTAAATGTCTAACAGGAGTTTGGCTTGGCAAATTATGGTACAGCCCATACAATGAAATTCTGTGTCATCATAATTAGTAAGTATATATTACTAACAAGAAAGATGTCTATAGTATGAAGTGGGAAAAAACAGACTATAAAACCGTATTTACAGAGTGCCAAAGAACAAAAATTACAATAAATTCAGATTAAAGATCTCAATTGGTTTTACTGCAATTCTAGAATGTGGCAACACTTAATTTCATAACATGGAAAAGGTATTCTAGTGAGTTGAGCAGAGGGGTTGGCTTTATGGACACAGAAGAGCTGAAGAGAGCAGAAGCATATTGGTTGTTTCAAAGCTACTTTTTTTGTAAGATAAAGAGAGACAGAATAATAGAAAAAATACTGATTATTTAACATGAAGCTACTTCAGGCTTTTTTTCCAATTAAAAATAGAGGCAGAGTCTCACTATGTTGCTCAGGCTGGTCGTGAACTCTTGGTCTCAAGTGATTCTCCCGCCTGGGCCTCCTGAAGTGTTGGGATTATAGGCATGAGCCACTGCACCCAGCCTTTTTTTTTTTTTTTTGAGACAGAGTCTCACTCTGTTGTCCAGATGGGAGTGCAATGGCATGATGACGGCTCACTGCATCCTCAACCTCCCAGGTTCAAGCAATCCTCCTACCTCCCTTTCCTGAGTAGCTGAGACCACACATGCACACCACCACGCCTGGCTAATTTTTAAATTTTTTGTAGAGGTAAGGTTTCACTATATTACCCATGCCAGTCTCAAACTCCTGGGCTCAAGAGATCCTCCCACTTCAGCCTCTGAAAGTGCTGGGATTACAGGTATGAGCCACTGCACCTGGCCTACGTTACTTCTTTTACATAAGGATTATTTCAGAGGGAACTTCATTATCACGCTGATTGAAGATTGAAACTGGACTGTTTGGGATTATTGGCTCTCTCCTAATTTCTCCCAATGTCAGAAGACCACCTTATTTTAAGTTTGATGCTATGGAACTTTAGCATAGTTGACTTCATTTTGATTTCTGTTCTGGTCTGATGGGGCCTAGTACAGCTGACAACAAAACAATGGTCTCCATAATTTTTGTTTAACAAGGGGAAAATATACTTTATTATCCTGTTGTCCTAAGGAGAGAATTTGCATGGCTACCTGGTCCAAGAATAAAAGTTAGGCTTCCTATTTGTTAAAAATGAAAGGCAAAATCTTGATACATGTTGGTAGTGTGGCAAAAAAGCAGAGAGGTCCCGGTGAATTTTTTTTTTTTTTTTTTTTTTTTTGAGACAGTCTTACTTTGCAATCAGGCTGGAGCGCAGTGGCACAATCACAGATCACTGCAGCCTAGACCTCTCCCGAGACTCAAGCAATCCTCTGCCTCAGCCTTGCAAGTGGTTGGGACTACAGGATGTGCCATCATGCCCAACTAATTTTTAAACTTTTTTTGTAGAATGGGGTCTTGGTATGTTTCCCAGACTGGTTTCAAACTCCTAGACTCAAGCGATCCTCCCACCTTGCCCCCAAAGTGTTAGGATTACAGGGCGAGCCACTGCATCCTGCCAAAAATTCTTACAACATATCCTAATCCACAACTGTCAATACACATCTCAGATGGTTGCAAGGGCAGGCAATTTTCCAAATAAATGTTTTTCTGTCGTGTATGAAACTGTCTTGAATTTAAAAGATTGTCTCTTCCTTGCATACTACAAACAGAGTATAGTACAAGATATGAGCAATAAATAGCCCATATAGTATGAGGACATTTATAGAATCAGATAACACTGCCAAATTTCCACATAGTTGTCCAGGCATAGTGGCTCGCACCTGTAATCCCAGCACTTTGGGAGGCAGAGGATTGTTTTGAGCCCAGGAGTTTGAGACCAGCCTGGGCAACACAGTGAGACCCCATTCTCTACAAAAAATAGCTGAGTGTGGTGGCATGCACCTGTAGAGTCCCAGCTACTCAGGAGGCCGAGGTGGGAGGATTGCTTGAGCCCAGGAGGTGAGGCTGCAGTGAGCTGTCATTATACCACTGCACTCCAGCCTAGGCAACAGAGTGAGACTGCGATGCAAAAAAAAAAAAAAAAAAAGGAAGAAGAAAGTTTCCAAAAAGTATATAAAATCCCATGACTAAGTTTTGGCAAGTAAATAAGTCATCAGAAACCACAAGATCATAATTTGAAAGTTATTAAGAAGATCAAATGATAAATATGAATGTAGAAATCTTTATTCCACTTACTTCTTAAATATAAATGGGATGAAAAGTGATCAAACTGATCAGATACAGAAGATTTTGAGGATGGATTAAAAAGATTTTCTTTGCTCTTCAAAAAGAAATTTACTGTGTCCAGCTGACGATTTTCTATCCCGGCCTGAAATGAGGAGGAAAATAAAAATCAGAAAAAAATTACAATAGCGAAAAAAATCAGGATTCAGATTTTGAATTTAATGTGGTGAGACTACAGGAGGCAAAAGACTGCATGAGTACCTGGGCTCCAGTGAGGATTTTGACAATGACTGATTATGCAATCTGGGGCAAGACTCTCTAACCTTTTCTTTTCTTTTTTTTTTTGAGTCAGAGTTTTGCTCTTGTTGCCCAGGCTGGAGTGCAATGGCATGATCTTGGCTCACTGCAACCTTTATCTCCTGGGTTCAAGAGATTCTCCTGCCCCGGCCTCCCAAGCAGTTCAGATTACAGGTGCCCGCCACCATGCTCGGCTAGTTTTTGTATTTTTAGTAGAGTCAGGGTTTCCTCATGTTGGCCAGGTTGGTCTCGAACTCCTGACCTCCAACGATCTACCTGCCTTGGCCTCCCAAAGTGCTGGGATTACAGGTATGAGCCACTGCGCCTGGCCCAATTTCTGCTTCAACAGAAACAGGCGGTTATTAGACTACAAAACCTTTCCAGCTCTACCATTTTATAATTTTAAAACAATTCAAAACTAAATATTAGGGATTACTCTTACAATTAAGTTATATTCTATTTGAATTAAAATGTTATGGCAGTACAATATAAAGTCATACTCTTGTCACCCAGGCTGAGGTACAGTGGCATGATCTCAGCTTACTACAACCTCTGCCTGCCCAGCTTCAGCGATTCTCGTGCCTCAGCCTCCCGAGTAGCTGGGATTACAGGCATGCGCCACCACACCCAGCTAATTTGCTGTTGTTGTTGTTGTATTTTTAATAGAGACAGGTTTCACTGTGTTTGGCTAGGCTAGTCTCGAACTCCTGGCCTAGAGTGATCCACTCAACTCAGCCTCCAAAATTGCTGGGATTACAGGCATGAGCCACTGCGCCCAGCCAGATTCTCCGTTGTCTTTTTTGAGACAGAGTCTTGCTCTGTCACCCAGGCTGGCGTGCAGTGGTTCGATCTTGGCTCACTGCAATCTCTGCCTCCCGGGTTCAAGTGATCCTCCTGCCTGAGAGTCCCAGGTAGCTGGGATTACAAGTCTGAACCACTACACTCAGCTAATTTTTGTATTTTTAATAGAGGTGGGGTTTCACCATGTTGGCCAGGCTGGTCTCGAACTCCTGACCTCAGGTGATCCTCCCGCCTAGATCTCCCAAAGTGCTGGGATTACAGGCGTAAGCCACTGCACCCGGCCACATTCCATATTTTTAATAAACAAAAATAAAATAAACGTATTTTTTTTTTCAAAGTATGATGGCCAGGTGTGGTAGCTCATGCCTGTAATCCCAGCACTTTGGGAGGCCGAGGCAGGTGGATCACCTGAGGTCAGGAGTTCAAGACCAGCCTGGCCAACATGGTGAAACC